CAGAATCAATAGTAAATATCAGTCAGAATAAGGAAAAAAATATGCAAGATTAGATTAAATTTGGTGCAGAGGTTAAAATAATATTTATTATACAGGGCATGGATAGGATTCAAAATCTCCTGTTTATAACAATGTCAAACATAGACATTTAAAAAAATCGCTCTTGATGTTTCAGAGATATAATCTAAACACTGGTATCCGAAACTTTCGAATACACCTTACTGACGAAAACTGATTGAGATAAAACTTTTGAAGTATTGCTTTTGTAGAGATTTTGTTTGATTGCAATTCGAGGACCATTGGATCAGGTCCCAGTGGCTCAGTGGTCTACGAGCTCGCTAGCCTTGTAACCAGAAGGTCCTGGGTTAGAACCCCGGTGGGTGAGTACTGCTGAGGAGTCCCAAACTAGGACGAAACGGCTGTCCAGTACTCCCAGCTGGTTTTCCAGTGGTTCTCCAACTGATGTCAGCTCATGATGAAATCCTCCATGCAATAAAACTTTTGCGCTGATACAACTTCCTCCCAAATAATAATGACGCAAAATATCGTGTTAATTAGCTTTGTGACACAATTTTCAATATTTTTTTATCAAGAGGGGTAATGATCTATGGGTTGAATGGATGACATTTAGTGGTGAGTTAGTTTATAACGATGTGTATATCACAGACGCCAATGTTTACCTCAGAAAAATATTTATTGTGTAGACGTATAAATTTTTTTAATGAAATGTTGAAATATTCATGTCATTTAGTTAATGGTGGCAACAAGCAGTGAGTTTTTAGGTCTCTTCAAATGGTTTCAGTATTCTAGCTGTCTGATATAGATATAGTACGCAAGCCAGTCAAATCGCTTAATTCGATATTATGCAAACCGAAAGACCCATCCAACAGAAAAAGGAGATAAAATTAACACCATTTACAAAATAAATTGTATGAACTGCAACAAGCATTACATCGGCCAAAGCGGGCGTCCCCTTCGAATCAGAATCCAAGAACACAAATCAGCCGTGAAAAGACACGATATGTATTCTTTAGTATCAATGCATATAGACAATTATGGTCATCAATTTGATTGGGATAATGTCAAAATCTTAGACAGAGGAAACACCAAAAGTGCAGTCAGGGAATTCCTAGAAGCCTGGGTACTCAAACGAAAATGCAATTAACAAACAAAACGTTAATATAGACGAAATATACCAACTAATAAAAAGTAAATCAGGTGACCAGAAAGTTTAAAATCCAAGTCAATAGAAAATGGTCAATACATATGTAAAGATGGTTACCGGGAGACGTACGCAATTATATCACTCATGAAGAAATTTAAATCATTTCACTTTATGCTAAATATTGCGCTGAAGGGGATGTTGTCCAGAAGGACGACGAAAGCTCCGCAACTAAAGCAACCAGCTCAGAGAACCATATTAATTGCAAAACTGACGGTTTTCAGACGAGATTCCTGGTAGTCTGGCTAAATCACTTGGCTTTTTTTTTTACTTAAAATGCTTCTTATTTGCTTCATTTCGCTATCGTTGGAATTATCCTGTACTTAGGCCTAATTTTTAAATAGATTTCAACCTACAGTGCTAAGCATTGAAACATATTGCTTCAAATGATCTGGTACTTACTATCAATTATTAATTTACTTGAATATTCTACAGACAAGGAATAAGTGCTTTCTAATAGAACATCCTGAGAATTCTGTGATATGCATTAACGCGCTTTTCATAATAAACTTATTAATATTACCATATTATTATTATTGTTCCTTTGGGTTCCTAGTGGAACATAGGGCTTCAACTACACGTCTCCACTTGCTTCTATCTTCTGCTGTACTTTCCACCTGCACCCATGTTAATCCATACTGTTTCAACTCCTCTTCACACGATCTCCTCCATGTCACCCTTGCACTGACGACCAACTCGCCGCTTCCCTTTCGGGTTCCACTCGAGCTATGGCCTGACGTGCGATGTCACCCAGCGGCCTCCTCAGCTAGTGTTCAATCCATCTCCACTTCCTTTTATTTATTTATTTATCTTTTTTATTTTTTATTACAGCTTGATGCCACACCGTATTTTCAGTACAAGTATGACATTTTCAGCATGGATATCGGTAGCCCAAATTATGCAGGCCGACCATAGATATTGGGTGTGCGTCGGCAGGGGATCGAACCCCGGACCATTTGCATGGTCGGCTAGAGTCCTAACCACAGTGCCACTGACGCTTCTGCATATTTGTTGAGCGATTGGTTCTCGTTTCCTTTGTTCCCATAGTTTCTTGTTGGTTCTTGTTCTTTCCGGCCATCTGATCTTCAGTATAGAGCCAGCGAAGACAGTTGTTGTTAATAAAGGTCTGCAACAGGCTGTTGGAAATATTCTTTGTCACCCGCCACCAACTTTCTGATCCATCCGTATAGAAGAAGTGACTGACTTGACGTTTGTATTGAAAATCCGAATCATTTTGTTGTTGATGCAGGCTGAGTTGAGTGACAGCGGAAGATTTCCAGATTGGTTGGTGTCAGGTTGATGAATGTGTTTCTCGCCTTCCCGATTCCCGACTTGACATCCTCGTCCGTTCCTCCTGTAGTTGAGACAATGCTCCCTCCCTAGATAAGTGAATGAAGTAACCTCTTTCAAATCCCTCCCGTTGATGGTGATTGGCGCTGGATGTTGATGCTGTTGTTGTTGTTTGGTTATTTTCTTAATATTAATATTCATAATTAATATTACTATGTTACACCCAAATTGTCATAATCACTTTCTTGGGATGATTCAGGTGAATCATATTTATGCAAAGGCTTTAAAAACTGAATGACACCCTTGAAGGATTTTGGCGGGTTATCAAAAAATTAAATAGTAGTATCGGTAGTTCAATTGTAGAATACTTGACAACCACACACACACACATGATTTACGTCCAGTTCCCGGCTGACATATACACTCCTAAACCTTGCCTTGTTTGCTAGCTGACAGTAAACCCGGAAAAAAGGCACGTCTTGGGATGATATTATCAACCCGTACTTCATTAAAATGAAATAACACCCTTACCGCTACTGAAACTTGAAAAGCCCTTGGAACTCAAAGGAATAAGAGAGAAAAAATCAATACGACCAACTTCATTGCACATGTCGTCAAAAAATGACGTGATTTACAGAATCCGTCGAAACTGGACAGAATTTTTTCACCCTAGTTGACGACTCTTTTAGTGGTGCTCACCAATGACGCCTTAATGGTCAACAAACTCACTTCTTCTTCTTCCTCTTCGTGAATTTCCTGGATTTCCACACATCGTCCGATGGTTGATGAGCACTGTTTTTGAGACGCCTATTGCTCAATAATTATTTTATGTTGAACTACGAGAATGAGAGTTAAACAATAGGCAGTCAGCAGGTGCCAACATATCAATTGCATTAGAATTGGCATTTGTACTTAAAAGTGAATTGGAATTCATATGTAATCCCTATCCAGGCATTAATGAAAACAAAACACGTAGATCAGCGAAGAGTCTCTTTTCGGCGAATTCATTTTCCTAGCTGTACAATCGCAAATATATATGCATTGTTTTGTATGTATGTGTACATTAAGTTTGTCAAACAAAGTTACAATCGGTTAAGGTTAATTTTAACTAAACAAGTGAAGATTGGTAATTGGAGTTGCGTAATACTGCTTCGGCGGCGTAGCGGTTAGGATAATTGCCGACCATGCACATGGTCCAGGGTTCGATCCCCGGCCACAGACGCATTCCTTCACCTCGCTAAGCCAGAAATAATGCTGGTGAAGAGGAAAGGTTGGGCATGAGGCTAGCAACCTCATCCTGTAAAATAAACACTGCTACAGAAACTTCAAGCCACTAGCTTGAAGCCCTATGTTCCACTGAGGAACGTGAAGGAAAAAAATGCAAAATCAGTCAAGAAAATCAGCTGTTAGTCAAATTAGGGTAGTAACAAAGGTGATGAGTTGTCACAAACAGTTGTTAAAAAGAAGTTATGTAATAATATGAATAGTTTGATGAGTGAGTTTTACTCAGGATGCACATAGGAACAAAGTAGATAATACGAAATTACGTAAGAGTTCTAAATGAATACAAGAATTATGATCAATTAGAGAACAGGCAAAGAAATAAAATTAAGTCATCAAAATAAAAAATAAAATCAAAATAAAAGTTGTTACCAAGACAGTAGAAGTGGTTGAGTTTTCCTCTTTTGTATGCACAGCTCCGGTTTTTCTATGTGAATGGCCAGAGCTTCAGCGATACAAAGAAGGCGAAATCGTATTGCCTTTGATAGGTTGTTCTTGACTCTGTAGATTACTTTGAAGCAGGAGGCGTTCGGTGAGAGATGGAATGATCAGTGTTAACCAGGTGTTCAATTATCATACTCCTTACAGCACCACTATTGCCTTTTCGCAGCCATGCTGGATAGTGTTCTTGAATTCTCTTGGACATGATGCGTGTCGAACGACCGCTGTAGCTAACTGTCTCCGCAGCAGCAGGTGAACTGATATGATATATGCACATAGAAGTGGTCAGATGCGGGATATTGTCCTTGAGGCTTCTGCAGATCAGTGGGCGACTGGAGAACACTATTCTTAGCGTTGCTGCAAAGAATGTTCTTCTCAGAGATGATGTGATGCTTCTCTTGAGAATATCGCTTGCTAAATCTCCCTTGAAATCCAAGTTCATGTAGAGTTTCTTTTTTGGCGCAGGTAAAGTTTCGTTTCTCCGAATTCTTGGTTTGATGTTTTGAATCTTATTGGAATTGCTAGAACAACCCTAAGTATAACCTATGCCAAACCAAAAGTAGTAATATCTCTCTGACCGTAACCGTATACTATCCCTAGCCTAACTTCAGCCTTAGTCTTTTCCTAATTTAATCCTTATCTATTCCTAACCAACAAAAAAATATAAATAAGATGAACCTGAATAGCATTAAAAGGCCGAAACACCACCCACCCCCAACCCCAGCCCCAACAGAAGAAAAATGAAAAAAACCTCACTAATACTTACCGGGTAAGTATTGTTTGCAGGATATTACCGGTGCTTGTTTCATTTCTTGCCAAATTTTCAAACTGTAGTATGTTAATAATCATAATAAAATGCATAACGACTCCATTCAAAAAGAAAAAATACTAATGCATTTCAATAATTTCGACTACTATAATAATAATAGTTTTATCATGATTATTATTATTATTAATCCATATTTAAATTTGAATTGCATAAATTTTGTCTATTCATTTACAGTTGGATACATGTTATTTGCTTCAAGTCTTTCAAGATAATTTAAATGGACTTGCTAAAATTGTATCTGAAAATTCTGACAAATGAACAGTTCACAGCCAATAGAAAATTTTTTTTAAATGAGCCTATTAGTCATTGCTCTTCTTTGATTGGTTGATCACAGTCTGAATTCTCATTGGTCATTAGCGCAGGTATATATATATATATACATTGCAAGAGACTAATTAGTCAACAAAAAGTACTCGTTCCTATAACTTCCTCTTCTTCATCAGGTCCTACAATTATATGTCTTTAATAATTAGAGAACTATTGTTATTGACAATATTACTGTTCCCAATTACATTGAATCAATAAGATCAATAGAACTGAGGTACAAGTGATAACATACATCGATATAACACTAAACTGAATATCAGATAAATCAATAAATATTACAGAGTTTATGACACTATAGCTTCCATAGAAGGCCAGGGTAGCAATAATTGCTGTACAAGTGTCTTCTACACTCGAAGCTTGGTTGTTTAAGTGATCCCGGATGGCTTTTCGGGTTTGAAGTGCTCCGAAATTTAAAAACCTTTGTAAATTTATTTGATACCTCATAGATGGCAGAAAAAGACTTTTCAGTAGTAATAGTTGTACAATCTTTTTGGACAATATTGTCTAATATTGTGAACTGTTGATGGTTTTTACCACACCTTTTATTGACTTACAGTGGTAGGTGCTTCCAAGCACGAACAGCAGTCACCTTCCTAGAGCTGCTGGTCTGCGTACCTGGCTTCAGAGGAGCAGTTCAATTGACATATGCAAAAACAGGTAGCAAGCCTACATACTTCGTCTTTGAGTCTCTGAATCACAGCCGGTAGTGTGAAAAATATGTGAGATGCAAATTGTCGGTGATATAAATTCTTCGAATCGATGTTCTCAGAGAGTTGGTTAATTATTTCACGTGCTACAGCACCGTGGAACTGCAGCCGTATATATATAGCGAGAGAGAGAGGGGCAAGGAGAAAGAGAGGCCTCTTCATATCATATACCGACAAATTCTATTTTACTCTGCTTGCCATGTCTTTTCAGGGTAAGTTATATATCCACACTACTGGAGGTGCTGTGGAAAGAAGGCAAAGTACCCGAGGATTGGAAGAAAGGATACTTATTCAAACTACCAAAGAAATGAGACCTAAGTCAATGCAAGAACTGGCGCGGAATTATGCTCCTGTCTATCCCAAGCAAAATACTAAGCCGCATCATCCTGGAGAGAATCAAACATGCCAACCTGGATGAAAAACTTCGACCGGAACAGGCTGGATTCAGGAGAAACAAGTCATGCATTGATCAAATCGCCACATTACGGATCATCACTGAACAAAGCTTGGAATGGCAGTCACCTCTCTATCTCAACTTCATCGACTTTGAAAAGGCCTTCGACAGCGTCGATCGAGAGGTGCTTTGGCAACTACTTCGCTACTACGGTGTGTCACCGATAATTATACATCTCATCCAACAGCTGTACGACAATGCTGCATGCCAAGTAATCCACAACGGGAAATTTACGGAATCCTTCGAAGTGAGGACAGGAGTAAGACAAGTTGGCTGCCTACTATCGCCAATGATTTTCCTGATTGCAGTAGACTGGATAATGCGACAGACAGTGGCGGGCAATGAGGAAACAGGCATAAAATGGACTCACACAAAAAACTTGGAGGATCTGGACTTCGCCGATGATATATGTCTGATTTCCCACAAACTGGAAGATATGCAAGCGAAAAGCAACAAGTTGGCAGAAGAAGCATCCAAGATAGGACTTACTTCAGGTGAACATAGAGAAAACAGAGGTGATGAAGATTCCTGGACAACACCACCAACAGTAACAACAACAACAGACAACAATCAGCATGAAAGGGAGGAACCTGAAAGAAACAACCTCCTTTACCTACCTACTTACCTACCTACCTGGGAAGCATCGTTTCAACTACAGACAGACGGAACTGACGAAGATATCAAAGCAAGAATCGGAAAAGCAAGACAAGCTTTCACTACTCTCAAGTCTGTGTGGAGGTCAACAGCACTCAGCATCAAAACGAAGATAAGATCCGGATTTTCAACTCCAATGTGAAGTCAGTCAGTGCTACTTAACATACGGATCAGAGACATGGACAGCGCGTCATAAAGAGCATCTCAAACAAACTACAGACCTTCATTAACAGCTAGCTGTCTTCGCTCAATACTACTCAAGATCAGATGGCCGGCCGGCCAGAAAAGATCAGCAACAGAGACGGATCTCTGGCATTGAGCGAACCAACACAGCAGGAACCAACCGATTGTGAAACAAATAGGCAGGAAGAAATGGAGATAGATGGATTGGCTGGCCATACTCTGAGGAAACAAGCCATCAAGTGAGTGACATCACTAGACAAGCCATTGCTCGAGTGGAACCCGTCCGAAAGGGAAGTGGCGGCGAGTTGGTCGTCAGTGCAAGAGTGAGGTGACTTGTAGGAGGTCATGTGAAGAGGAGATGAAAACGTGTGGGCAGACTTGGAGCCAGGTGAAGACTCTAGCAGAGAACCGAACGCAATGGAGACGCACGGCTGAACCCCTATGTTCCTGTAGGAATTAAAGGAAACAATAATAATATATTCAATTAACGTGTAATATTTTGATATATGCAAATGTTAAGGAAATATCTGAAGAGAAATACACATGGTCGACATCATGTAACGATTAATTTTATGAACACAAGACATAAAGATAACCAAAAGCACAGAGAAGTAAGTAGAAGGATTCATAACTGTTGGGTAAAATTAAGTTCATTGTATCAATTTCATTTGAAATGAAAATAATGTCTGCCTTTAAAAAATAAAAACAAATGATTAAATGTACACACTTGACAAATTAATAAATATTGATAATGTATACTTTTATTCTGTAAACTGATATAAAAATATTTCGAAATATTCAAATAATTAAAGAAGGATATCGGCGGACAGTAGGGGTTTCGACTTAGTTTGTGAGACTCACTCTTCAGTAGTAGTTGTTGTTGTTGTTGTGGCTGTTGCTATATACTCTATTCTCATGGATACAGTCTTATTTTTGCAACAGTTTAGATTTAAAATGGGCACATGTGTTTTTTTAAGATGAACCTCTTGAGAATCTATGGGTATGTGCATATGTGTGTGTGTGTGTGTTTGTAGAAGTGATAACCTTGAGAATAGCAAAACCTGGAAACACAGACGATAGGACGATAAGTGATAAACCGGACTAAATCGACTAAATTGATACTTGAATAGAGAAATCAGCTGACAGTGAGTGAGATATTTTCTTCTTAGAAAGGAGGAAGAAGTGTAAACAACCATAGAGAAAACAACAACAACAACAGTCGGTGAACAAATTAAGACGAATAATACCCTGTAATGAATGTTTATATTTGATAAAATAAGTGTTACTATTATTACGTTTCATAATAACTAGCAAGTTGTAATATATTTACAAAGCTCAAGAAATATGCAAACACCTATATCTGTAACAACAGAAGACAAGGGCCAGGCAACAGATCGTTTATTAAGGAAAATCAACACATATTTATAGATTTTAATGTACATTATTGTAGATTATTGTTAGTAGAAAATACAGTCTTTTGATTGGTTGTTTCTCACAGAAAGTTAACCTTGCATCTCTTTGTGGCTGTGTCAGATCATCCATATGCTAACTGTATCCGCCTACGCAAAGCCTTTGTTCTCATTTTCTCACCACCAATATTGGGGACATAAACATTGACGTCAATTACTGTCTACCAACTTTGGCTAGCAGCTACCTCTCACCACATATCTACTTCATTACTCCAAAATCACTATACTGATCCGCACAGCACTCAGCAATACAGCACAAAGAACAAGGTTCGAATTTTCTTAAACATTAATGTCGAGACAGTCAAAGCAGCTTATTTATGGTTGGCACACGCATCAACAAAGGAATTCGAACAGTTTGCTACCGTAAACTTTAATCAATGGTTGTCTTTGCACAATACCCAATGTCAGATTATATTATTGTATTATTACTGTTCCCTTGGGTTCCTAGTGGAACATAACGTTTCAACTAAACGTCTCCACTTGCTCATGTCTTCTGCTGTACTTTTCACCTGCGTCCATGTTAGTCCATACTGTTTCAACTCCTCTTCACACGATCTCCTCCATGTCACCCTTGCACTGACGTCCAACTCGTCGCTTCCCTTTCGCGTTCCACTCGAGCTATGGCCTGACGCGCGATGTCACCCAACGGCCTCCTCAGCCAGTGTCCAATCCATCTCCACTTTCTACTGCATATTTGTTGAGCGATTGGTTCTTGCTTTGTTTGTTCCCATAGTTTCTTGTTGGTTCTTGTTCTTTCCGGCGGCCATCTGATCTTCAGTATAGTGCCAGCGAAGACAGTTGTTGTTGATAAAGGTGTGCAACAGGCTGTTGGAAATATTCTTTGTGACCCGCCAAGTTTCTGATCCATCCGTATAGAAGAACTGACTGACTTGACGTTTGTATTGAAAATCCGAATTTTGTTGTTGATGTTGAGTGACGGAGATTTTCATCAATGTCAGATAGTCGAGTCGAAAGGATAAGCGTCAAAGATCTCTAGTAACTAACGAGCTAAGAACCTTTTATCCAACAAATATGCAGAAGGAAACGAAGATGGATGGATTGGACATACGCTGAAGCGACCGTTGAGTGACACCACACACCGAATAGGTGTGGATAGAGAGAGATACAGAAATGGCTAAATGTGTTGACCGGTTCATTTATTTGAAGGGGTTACATCAAGTCTCCT